TTGAACTCAAGCCCTTGCGCTTGCCAGGGAAACGCATATTCCATTGAGCCATCTCCCTGGCCATGATCTAACTATTAAGTGCTCTCTTTAGGAGCTTTTTTGTCATGGCGGGATAGAGATAGGAACATGGAAGAGAGGCCAATATCCAGGTGACAGTTTGAGGGCCTGCCCTCTGGTCCGTGGTTTTGCAAAGGCATGGTGTGACTCTAAGAGGTTGTGTATACAAAATAACAAAGGCTATGACTCTCTCTCTCTTTTTTTTTTTTTTTTTTTTTTGGTGGAATGGGGATTGAACTCAGGCCCTTGTGCTTGCCAGAGAAGCGCTATTTCCACTGAGCCATCTACCTGGCCCCAACAAAGGCTATGAGAAACTCCATGTTGGGCTTGTGTCTTTATGGTGCCTTGGTTTGTCAAAAAGACTCTTGGTAGTTCTTACCTTTCCTCTACTGGTTAACTTTTCTCAATACAGAAAAGCATAATAGACATACCTGGTGGGTCTTGGGGCTCCAAAAAATCTTATCTGGAAGATGAAAGACCTTGAGTTCAACCTGTTGCAGGGCCAGCTCTGGAGGGATCATTTTAGGCAGACATGGCCATCGGAGCCTATACATTGGAAAGTTGGGGTTGCCACATGTATTATCGTATTAACGGTAGTTGTGAAGTGGCCCAGAGGCCAGTGGCCCCTGAGCTCACTGAGCTGACCTGCTGGAACAAAAAGTTGTGTCTGATGTTGGCTTATGTGCAATAATGTGACCTTGGAAACTCCGAGTTTACCCCTCCTCAGCTGTGCTCCTCGCCGTGGCCTTGCCCTGGGTCTGTTTGGCTTGTGATAGTGGATGAACCTTGGAAATAGCTACTCACCTCTCATCAGGGACAAGAGGACTGCAGACAGACTAAGTCTTGTCAGGCTGAGGGCTTTTGTATCACTTTTGTGCTAGACATATCTCCCACAAACAGGGATGAGGCCAGGGAGTGACTCTGGCCCAGCCTGGAGTGTGCTTCTGTACCCTCCCCCACCCCCATTCTCCAAGATTCCCTGCCAACTCAGGGGCCTTAACATCCTGCCAAAAATGCCTCTTGGGTTATTTGTTTGGTATAGGGAATTAAACTCAGGACCTTGTGCTTGCTAGGCAGGCACTTGGGCTACAAGGCTGTATCTCTGGCCCTGCCCTTTGTTTTTTGGCACCACATTTTTTAGTAGGAGAGCCACCATCCTTTGGCTTTTCTGATTTGAGAGGTGCAGGCTTTGTGGAGCCTTCCTGAGAAACTTACCCAGTCCATAGTGTGGAGGGAAGAGGTTGACAATGATGGAGCTCTTCTAATTCATGCTGGGCACATTTGGAATGAAAGCAGAACTGCCCCGGGCACCCAGGCCTGTGGCTAGCCTCTGGTGGCCCCCAGGGACAGCTTAGACTGATGCTGCCTGAGGCAGAGCCTGATTAGTGCAGAGCCCTCCCTGGCAGGGTGCTATCAGGCACTTGTGAGCTCACTTAGGGATGCAGGGAGCCTACAGGGGGCTGGGGTAGGGAGTTTGCACTAGGTCTTGGTGGATTTTTATTCCAGTCCTGGCTTTTTTCTGTCAGATACCTTAAAGGAGCAGGATATCCTGTTGCCAGGAATGGCAAGGATGGCCAAAGGAATGGGGCTCAGAACGCTTTCTGATGTTCCTGTTTGTCCCTCATGTCTCAGTTGCAGGCCCAAAAACTGCGGCTGGCATACACAAGGAGCTCCCATTACGGTGGTTCTCTGCCCAATGTTAACCAGATTGGCTGTGGCTTGGCTGAGTTCCAGGTGAGTGGACACAAGCCCAGGATGGACAGAGGCTCTTGGGTGACTTCCCTGCTGACTCACCTGTCACTTTGGTAGAGCCCCCTCCACTCACCTTTGGATTCATCACGGAGCACTCGGCACCATGGACTGGTTGAACGGGTGCAGAGAGATCCCCGGAGGATGGTGTCTCCACTCCGCCGATACCCCCGCCACATATCCTTCCTAGTGGCTATGGGAGCTGTGCTGGGGGTGGGAAGGGGTTCTCCAGGGACTCAAAATGTCACCCAGTCCCATCCTTTTCCACCAGCTCACTTTTATCCAGACTCCCTGGTAAGTGACTGCAACCTGTTCGTCTGTGCTGGTTTTCGTGATGGGGAATCGTGGCCTCCTCTCTGGCTAGCCCTAGCTTACATTACTTCAGCTTACTTTTCTTTGCAAGCAGAGCTCCCTGATTCTTCTCCTGTTAAGGGAAGTGTGTTCTCTTCTCACTTCTGTTATTAGCTTGATTTCTTCTCTCTCCTTCTCCTTTTTTGGGCTGGTACTGGGCATTGAACCCAGCCAGACCATTGGCACAGAGCTACATCCCCAGGCCTTGTTTGTTTATTTATTTGTATTTATTACATTTATTTATTGTGTGTGTGTGTGTGTGTGTGTGTGTGTGTGGCCAGCTCAGCCCACCAGGGGGCAGGGCTGGCTGGCATGTGGTGCTGGAGGATTGAACCGCGGTCCCTAAGCTTTGCCAAGCTTGTTTCAAGTAGGTGCTTTAGACCACTGAGCCATCTCTCCAGCCCCCCAGGCCTTGTTTGTATTATTAATTTTTTTTTTTTTTTTTTTTGGCTGGCTAGGCCTACCTTAAGGGCTTTTTTTTTTTTTTTTTTGTGGAACTGGGGATTGAACTCAGACCCTTGTGCTTGCCAGGCAAGCGCTTATTCTACTGAGCTATCTCCCCGGCCCTGTATTATTAATTTTTGAGGCAATGTTTCACCATACAGTTGAGGCTGACCTTGAACTCACTATGTAGCCCAGGCTACCCTCGAACTCATGGCAATCCTCCTGCCTCAGCCTTCTAAGTGCTGGGGTTGCAGGTATGCACCATCCCACTTGGTTTGTTGTCAGCATTTGATC